TGTTATTCCTGTTTTTAAAAATGTTATATATCAAATGAAAAGGAAATGGCGTTTATTGCGTTTGAAAAGTGATATACCTCTTTAAATCTGAAGCAAGATAGTTGCAAACAAGGAAACCAGTGGGTGCCACAAGGCTTTGGAAGTTGTTTCCAGAGTAGGACAGGCTAGAGCCTGGCGTGGTGGTGCATACCTGTAACCCCAGCACTAGGGAGGCTGAGGCAGGAGGATTGCTATGAGTTCGAGATCAGCCTGGGCTACATAGTGAGTTCCAGGGCAGTCTCAGCTACACATTGAGACTCTGTCTCAAACAAACAAACAAACAAACAAACAAACAGAATAGGACAGGCTAAATAGAACAAGGCAGGTCCCCCCTTCCCTGTGCTGGAGAATCAGGTCACTGCTTGTAGAGTCAGTGCAAATAGGATTATTCCTATAATCTCAAGGGTGCCAGTGGTAGATTTGTTCTATAGCAAGGTCAAAAAGAAACTCAGAGCTGAATTTACAAATTTTTGAGTGGTTCTTATATATTTCCTTATCTCTCCTTTGACTTATAGGAGTCTGGTGAAAAGTGCTTGGCTTGGGTTTTCTTTAGTTGTGTTCCAGAATTTTCATATTGGCTTGGAGTTTTTCTGAGAGACCCTGCTGTATAATAACTATTTCTTTCTGACACATCTTTTTCCTCCTTTTGTCACACATACTGGTGTGGAAATTAGGTGTTTTGTGCTGGAGCCCCTCACTGGTTTGAACCTGAAAATACTTCTTTTAAATTAGCGTTATTAGCAAATTTGTTCAATCTATTATTTTTGAACAATCTTGAGGAAATATTGATAGTGGTTGAGCCATGTAATATTTTTTCTTATTTATATCATATATTTAGTGGTTTTTAGATGTTGAAAGTAATATGCACTTGTTTTCAAGTGAATTACAAACATAAGGATATGTCAGTTATTATTATTATTTTTTTTGGTCATTATTTTTTGAGACAGGATCTTGCTGTGTAGTGTTTCTACCCCAGACGGGACTTGAACTCATGGTGATCCTCTTGCCTCAGCCTATTAAGTGCTGGGATTTCAGGGGTATACCACCATGCCTGACTGTAAAGATGTATAAGGACTTAAGAATTTAAAAATCCAACTTCACATCTTATCTCATCTGTAGAGGGAATTAATGCTTACAGTCCACATAGTGTGCATCTATTCATAAAAACATATCAGGCCAGAGATTTAGCTCAGTGGCACTGATACCTTCCTTGCAAGCACAAGTCCTGAGTTTGATCCCTGGTACTGCCCCCCCACCAATATATATGGCTATATGCATACTTCTTAGTTTTTCTGGGTTTTTTTGTTTGTTTGTTTGTTTGGCTTTTTGAGGCAAGGTCTGAGGCTGACTCTGAACTCTGAATTTACTATGTAGCCCAAGCTGGCCTTGAACTCCTGGTGATCCATCTACCTCAGCCTCCAGAATGCTGGGATTACAGGCGTGTGCCGTCACACCCAGCTCTGGTTGTTTTTAATAACAGCTTTTTAAAGATAATAGCTCACATACCATATAATTCATTTATTTGAAGTATCTAATCCAGTGGTTTTAAATATATTCACAGTATATTTAACTATCACTACAACCAGTTGTAGGTCATTATTGTCATCCCAAAAAGAAACCCCTTACCTATTAGCAATTATTCTCCATTATTTTTCAACTTCCCTAGTCCTAGGTAACTACTAATCTACTTTTAGTCTTTATATAAGTATCTATTCTGGACATTTCATATAAATGGAATTATTCAATATCTGGACATTTGTGGCTGGGTTCTTTTAGACTAATGTATTTTTGTTTTTGTTTTTGTTTTTGTACCGGGGATCAAACTCGGGTCCTTGTGCTTGCGAGGCAGGTGGCGGAATCACTGAGCTAAATCCCTGGCCCTAGACTAATGCTTTTAAGGTTCATCCAAATTATAGCATGTTATCAGTACTTTGTTGTAATGGCTGAATAATATTCCATTGTATGGGTATATATATTTTGTTTATTCACTTAAGAGTTGATGGACATTTGGGTTGTTTCTCCACTTCTGGGATATTATGAATAATGTTACTAAGAATATTTGTATACAAATTATTTTTTCCGGTATGAGGATTGAACCCAGGGCCCTTTTTATTTTGAGACACTGTCTCTCTAAGTCACTAAGACTGGACCCTAACTTGTAGTCTTCTTGCCTCAGCCTCAAAGAATGTGTGCCTTATGGCACTATGGTAGTTCCTTTGTTGGTTACCCTCCAGTTTCAGAATCCACCATTAAAGAGGTATATTGCCTCTGAAATACAATAACTCACCATTTCCTTTTTTTGTTTGTTTGTTTTTGTGGTACTGGGGATTAAATTCAGGACCTTGCACTTGTGAGGCAGGCACCACACCACTGAGCTGAATCCCTGACACCATTTCCTTTTTATTTGATTTATAACTTTTTTGTGTGTGTGTGACAGGATCTCACTGTGTAAGTCAGTCTTGCCTTGAGCTCACTGTGTAGCCCAGGCTGGCCTTGAACTCACAATGATTCTCCTGCCTCAGCCTCCCAAGGTGCTAGGATTACAGGTGTGTGCCACCATGCTCAGCAATATATAACATTTTTAAAGACAGGGATATATTCTACCCCATTACCCTATCTTTAATGTTCCATTACCATTAACTAACATAACTCTTAAAATTATAAATTTGTATATTCTGTTGTATTACACATTATTTGCCCAGAATTTAATTTTTTTTGTTTGATTCTTAAATTCCGTCTGGCCATCATTTATTCTTCAAATTCCATTTTTTTCTACATACTGGTCTTCTTGAAGCACCCTGAACATATAGTATGTTCATTTCCCTCATGCCTTTATTCACTTTCCCTCAGCAGTGGTTTCCTTTTACTTTTCTTATATAGATGTGGACAGTCTTCCAGGTCATCTCTAAGTGTTCTTGACGAAGACTCTTTCTATAACTTTAAACCTCATTCTTCAGACTCTTGGTTTCATGATCTATAGCAGAGTTTCTTAGCATCAGCACTTCTGATATATTCAGTCTCATAGTTCTTTATTCTGGAAAACTGTTCTATATATGTAGACTGTTTAACAGCATCCCTGTTTTCTTCTACTCACTAAATGCCAGTAGTAGTATCACTTGGGAACTTGCCAGAAATGCAGATTCTAAAGCCTCACTGTACTCTACTGAATCCAGAAGCCAAGGAAGAGGGCCTAGCAATCTGTGCTTTGTTTGTTTGTTTGTTTGTTTTTGGTGCCATAAATTGAACTCGGGACCTTGTGCTTTCGAGGCAGGCAGTGGCACCACTGAGCTAAATCCCTGGCTCAATCTGTGCTTTAACAGTCCTGCAGATGATTCTGCATGCTAACATTTGAGATTCACATTCTTGATTGTTTGCTTTTCTTGTGTATGTAGGAAAAAACTTCTTATAATTTTATTGTTGTCTAGCATACTGGCAAATTTATGCTTATTTATCAGTTAGTAATTGCAAAGCTTAATCTTTCTGAGGTAGTCTTAACCAGGCTATTCAAAAGAATGTATACTTTCTGTACATTTGTAAAAAAGAATAATTGGGAAGAGGATTTGAATTTACTTAAAACTATAAAGCATACTTTGAGTCAATAAAAAGAAATAGAGTTTTACAGTAAGTGCTGCCTGAGAATGGCGAGGGCCTTGTAAAAGATCCCGAATATCCCTTCTCTTGGAAATATTAAGTGATAGTAGATATTAACTAAGGTAAAGCTTTCATTTGTAATGCAGGACAAAGAGAATGGCAGATCTAACCCGTAAGTGTCCTAAGTAGGCCTTGTGTTTTGAGGTTCCCCATTATCCCTTTTTCTCCTTGTGGCACTTAGTTCTCATCTTCATGACTTGATATTTGGTGCTTTTTGGAATTTAGCAGTTTTTTTGCCATATGTGGTCTTTGACCATTTCTAGGACTGCCACATGCAGTCTCGGTTATAAGATCCTTTCTTTCTTGTATGTTATGTACTGAGTTTTTGGAACAGCTTTTTCCTTTTTTTGGCCAGGTTTTGCCATGTTACCCAGGCTGGCCTTCAAGTATACCTTCCCATTTTAGCATCCCAAGAAGCTGGAATTTTAGGCATGTACCACTATGCTTACAAGAAACAGCTCTGTATAATCACTTTGACAGGAAACCCTCTTGATACCTCTTTATTCTTAGAAAGGAGCTAATTCTTTTAATTTTTTATTTTGAGACAGCATGTCACTATGTAGCCTAGACTGACCTTGAACTCTCAGGGATACTCCTGACTCAGCCTCCTGAGTGCTGGGATTACAAGTATGTGCCACACCTGGCCTAGGAGTTAATTCTTACTCTTGTTTCAGATGCTGTCATCTAAAAACGTACTGTTACATACTTGTGGAATATATAGAATGGAGGATTTTTTTTTTTATGGGCTTGGAGATTGAACCCAGTGCCTCATGCATGCTAGGCAATCATGCGGAGCTATATTCCCAGCCTGATGATGTGTTTTATTTATTTATTTTTGATGATGCATTTTAAATGAGAGATATTTGTGATTTAAATCTTAAAAAGGTATCTAGCATGAAATTGCTTGCACAGACTTGCCTCTTTTTATCTTCTTGTCAGCAGGCTGACACAGAGATTTCTCCTTTGGGTATAATACTGTATTAGATGACTTCAAAGCATTTTTATTTTTTTTTTTTTTTTTGTGCCAGGCATCAAACTTGGTACCTTGCACTTGTGAGGCAGGCTGTGGAACCACTGAGGTAAATCCCTGGCCCATCAAAGCATTTTTTGACCAGAAGTCTCAGCTGCTTTTCTCAATAATTGCACTTGCTGAACAAGGTGACACATGCCTTTAATCTCAGTGCTTGAGAGGCTGAGAAAGGATTGTGAGTTTGAGGCCTGTTTGGGCTACATTAAAAAAAAAAGTTGGTTAAGTAAAATGAATAAATTTGCAAAAATTCTTCATGGTATCTCATTTTTTTCTCTTGCAGTTAAAAGAGCCAAATTCCAGGGTTCACCAGGTAAGTCCAGCCTTCTAATGTTGGGGGCCTGGGAGTTACTGGAAAAATATGAACGTACTTAGGAACCCAGGGAAACTTGAAAACCAGACCTTGGTTCATCAGGAAATAAAGCAGTTTCTTGAGCCCACTATTTTCTCTACTGGCTCTGAGTTAGGGTTTCTCTTCCTTGTGAAGATCTCCTCTGTTCTCCTTTCTTTCTCAGGGTTTCTTCACTTACCCATCTTGCCCAAAATCCTTAATAGCTTCTCCAGTGGAGTCCATATGCCTTTCCTTCCTGCTTTAGCACCATTCTCCACTTACTGGTATTTTTCTTTTATTTTTTCCCTTCCCATCTAAAATCTTTGGAGAAGGAATCAGATTGGTCTCTGCATTTGTCAGTACTTTTGCATTGTGAAACTCTCTGATCTGCTCAGCTGTGTATTATTGGATGCAGGGATGGGGAGCAAGATTGTATAATACAAAACATAGCTCAGGCTGGGAGTTTAGTTCAGTAATAGAGCACTTGTCTAGTGTGTGTGAGGCCCTGTATTTGATCCCCAGCACCACAAAAACAAAAAGTGCCAGAAGAGCAGCATTCTGGATGTGCATGGGGATTCCCTTTATATGTATGGGATTTTATGTTTATATATCTTTAGTATAATTATAAAGTTTCCATGTTGGTAATTATAAAACTATAAAATATTAAGTGATACTTGAAAATTTTGTCTTCTATGAGAAGTGTGTGAGAGAACCCATTTTCTCACCTCTTTTCTAACATTAGATAATTATTTTAGGCAGTATCTGTGAATTTGATGAGCCAAAGTGATAGTTTGCTATTTTTTTCATTTTATAAAATGATGGATTTCTTATATAGAAAAATGAACCCTTAGTTTGGTGCTATGATTAAAGGGTATGTAGTAAGGTGACTGCAAAATATTCTTTGTTAAGCAGTGGGTCAGATTTTTGAGTTCCAGTCCACCAATTTTGTTTTGTGTGCGTGTGTGTGTGTGTGTGTGTGTGTGTGTGTGAGTGTGACAAATTCTCACTGTGTATTTCAGGCTGGCTTTGAATTCATTATGTAGGCCAAACTGGCTGGCCTCAAACTCATGTTAGTCTTCCTGTCTCAGCCTCCCAACTGCTGAAATAACAGGCCTGTGCTGCCTGCTACCACACCTAGCTATCTTTTTTTCTTTCTTAAAATTTTGTTTGTTTTTTTATAGTACTAGGGATTGAATTGAGGGCCTCTGCACTGAACTATATCCCCAACCCTTTTTAAAAAAGTTTTTATTTTGAAACCAGGTCTTGCCAAGTCACTGAATTACCCAGACTGGACTTGAATTTGGCGTCCTCTTGCCTCAGCCTCCCAATGTGCTGGGGTTACAGGTGTATGCCACCACACCTGGCTACCTTTGCTTAGTACTCAGTTTATTTTCTCAGGTTACAGAATTTCTTTTTCTCAACACTGTGATAATGTCCCTTTTTATGTAACTTGTGCTTTAGGCCAGACTATGTAGATCAAATTTCAAATCCATTTCCTTTATGAATTTTTTTCCTTTAATTCTTGTTTCTATAAGAGCTCAGCAGTCAGTATCTTACATTTTGTTAGTTTTTTTTCTAAACTACAGGTGGAGTATAAAATCAATTTAGTAGGTTCTGTCTCACTAGAATAGGAACCATCTAAGCCTTTGTGTCAGTTTGCATATGTAGATAAATCTCTTCTAGGTCATATGCAAAAATGTTTTTGTTAAAATTCGAAGTTTATATAGTTTTATAATTCTTGCAATTGTACTGTGCCTTCAGTTTTACAGTGTATAGCTTCATTTTTTCTTGTACATTTAATACTTTAATTTGTATACTACTTAATTTAAAGGGCTGTCTGAAATTGGGTAATAATCTGAGTACTTAGTATAATATATATTTTATATTTTTTTCAAAGATAAATTTAACACATATGTGACCCTGAAAGTACAGAATGTAAAGAGCACAACTGTTGCAGTTCGTGGTGACCAGCCTTCCTGGGAACAAGATTTCATGTTGTAAGTACTTTGCAGCAAGAGCATCTATATATTCTATAATCTTTCTAAGGTAATAGCATTGCGTGACAAAGATTTTTGTGTATACCTAAGACTTATAATGTGTGCTAATGCCACTAAACAGTTTTTGAAAACTGCAGTTACAGGATGATGTGAGATGTATGGTAGGAAGGTGAAGTATATCTTCATTTTTTTAACCTCATGGATTTTGTGTGTGTGTGTGTGTGTGTGTGTGTGTGTGTGTGTGTGTGTGTGTGGTACTGGTGATTGAAATCAGGACCTTTGCACAAAACTATATCCCCATCACTTCTTATTTTGTATTTTGAGACAAAGTCTTGATAAATTGCTCAGGCTGGGCTTGAATTTGCAGTCCTCCCGCTTCAACTTCCAGAATTCTGGGATTATAGACATGTACCGTATGATCAACTTCATGATCTGTTCTAACTTGGGTGATGACTGTGAGTAAGGTCCCATTTAATTTATGTGAGTGATAATACTACCTAGTCAGATTTTCTTAATGGTCAGAATTAGGATACGATACAATATACTTAATATGATATTAAGCATAACTTCATCTTTGATTCTTTTTCTTTTGTACCTGGGATTGAACTCAGAACCTTGCGCTTTTGAGGCAAGCAGTGAGCTAAATCCCTGGCCCTCATCTTTGATTCTTGAAAGACTCTGAGGAAATGAGGCTATTTGTGTTTGGGTGTACCTCAGCCATCTGCTTTAGAGGATGAAGATTCTAGGCTTAAAGTCATTTTGCTTTATTGAGAGAAAATGTTCCACATGCATTTAATTATAAACATTAGTAGAATTTGAGACAGAAAATTAATGTATTTTTATTTTAAAATCTGGCTTTGAAAATTTCCTATTCTGCCCTTCCCTCATAAATTTCAGGAAAACTTGCCCCCCCCCCCAAGAAAGGGCAGAAAATTATAGACTATCATATTGAAGGACTGGGCTAATCACTTAGCTTTTCTGATGTCAATTTCCTTATCTGAAAAGGGCATCCTTTTTAAAAAAGGTTACACTTATTTTCGTAGGAGGTAGACAAGAAGGGATCAAAAGAAAATATGTAAGTTCTTTGTAAATTTTTGTGAAGTTTGAAATTAAATTAAATATGCTTTGTTAAGTTTTACAGTGCAGCCCAGAGAGATAAGGGATGATTCTTATTTTTATGGTGAACCATTCTAATCCTCTGGGCATTAATGAATTGCTCCTTAAAGTACCATGAAGGATGCTTTATCATGATAGTTAAATGGTAGTGAAATTTACTAGGTAAGCTTATGAAGATATAAACTAACACAATAGCAGAAGGGATAGAGTAAAAAAGATGGGTAGAAGATTTTAAGGTGATGAAACTAAAAAATTTGTTGGAATGGTTAGGTAGGTGTTGTATCTCTTTATTTTCCCCCTCCCCTCCTTTTCTCCAGCAGGTCAAACCCAGAGGGAAGCATGCAAGACTATTTTTCTACTGAGCCATACCTTCAGCCTGATACTTATTAGAGCAGGGGTTCATGTAAGATCAACTATGGATAAGCCTATATTTGAGGTTCTTACTGACAGGTAGGCTATAGGTACAGAAGATAGAAGATACTTGGCCTATAGTTATAAACCTTAGGGAGAAGAAAGTCTGGTTTTAAGAAATATCTTGGCCAGTGGAAGGCATAAGTGTAGATGAATGCTTAGGGACAGAATGTGTATACAGTGAGGAAAGGACTGGACAGAGCTGGAGAGCAGCAGCAGTAGAGGGAATTACAGAGAGTAAGAAGGCACAAGCAGAGAAAGGGAAATCCAAGAGGTGGAGGTGTCAGTGGAAGCTGAGGCCTCCAATAAAAGAGGCTAATTGGTGTCACATTTCTCACTGGCTGTCTCACAGGATTATAAGCCTCATTCCCTTTCTTAGTTGTAGTGACATGAGAGTGAGACTGTTTCCTTTTTTCACACATGTAGTATGCAGATTCAGCAATAAACAGTTTATGCAAGTCTGTTCCCTTGTTAGCCATACCAAGGTGTGGCTGTGATTTATAAATATAGCAATCCTACTTTCTTCTGACTTCCAGCGCTAGAATTTTGTTCTAATTGTTCCTAGCAGTGATTTTTGCAGTTTCTCATCAGGTTAGCTAGCTTTTTCTTTATCCATTGCCTGTAGCTTTTCCCTTTAAACTTTTTGTAATATGTGTGTTTTTTTTCCATCTTACACAGTGAGACGCTGTGTGAATTTTGCCCTATGCCCTTTTACACATGGTTTTTATTAGCTGTTTCTTGTACCTTTGTTAGACTCCTCTTCTGTCCTTTTGTTATTAGCAACTCCATTACTAGTCTCTGCCTCTTTCCTTTTCCTTCTTCCTGATATATTATGTAACAGTTTCTCATATTTAATATTTCTGTGTCTAATTTTTAGGATTAGATTTTTCTTTGTTTTCTTCCTTTTTCTTAGTCCACTTTTTCTTTTTCTTTTTCTTTTTTTTTTTTTTTTTTTTTTTTGTGAGCTTGGCAGTTGAACCCAGGGCTTCATGAATACTAGACAGATGTCACCACTGAGCTATATCCTCAAATCTTTATTTTGAGGGCCAGGGATTTAGCTCAGCGGTTTGGTGGCCTGCCTTGCAAGTGCAAGGACCCGAGTTCAATCCCCAGTACCAAAAAAAAACCCAAAACTTTATTTTGAGACAAGGTCTTTATAAATTTTTCAACTGGTCCTTGAATTTTTAATCCTCCTGTTTTAGCTCTGGAATAGCTGGGATTATAGGCATATCCAGCCTAGACTGATTGATCATTGTCTGTCTGTCTTTTTTTCCCCTTTCTTCCTTCTTTCCTTGTTTGTGTGTTTGTGTGTGTGTGTGCAGAGGTGGTATTGGGGATGGAACTCAGGGCCTTCACACCGGGCTAATCCCCAGCTCTTTTTATTTTCTATTTTGAGGTAGGTTCTCCCTGAATTGCTTAGGCTGAGCTTGTACTCACGATCTTCTCCCAGTGTGCCACCATGCCTAGATTGTTTTGTTTTTTTTTGAGACGGTCTCACTATATAGCTGAGACTGACCTGGAACTCACTATGTAGCCCATGCTGGTCTTGAACTCACAGTGATCCTCCTGCCTCAGCCTCCCAAGTGCTGGGATTACAGGCATGTGCCACTGTGTCCAGCTTTTTTTTTTTTTAAACACAGGTTCTGCTATGTAGTCCAGGATAGCCTTGAACTCACTTGTAGCTCAGGTTGGCCTCAAATGCCCAGCAGTCTTCTTGCCTCTTAGCTTCCCAAGTGCTGGGATTACAGGCATGCACTACCACATCTGGCCAATTGATCATTTTTTTTCTTACTTACTAGTGTGAATATTTGTAGCCCACACACGTGTGTGTATACTCTTGATTGAGTTAATTAAGAGTAAAACTTCTCACCAGGGATTTAGCTCAGTGGTTTTGCCACCTGCCTTGCAAGCTCAAGTACTCAAGTTCAATCCCCAGTACAAAAAGAAAAAAAAAATAAGAGTAAAGCATCTACAGGGCTCTGGGGAGGAGGCATAAACAGAACCCATAGCCTTCTCATTGTGCCTGCTGAGCAACAGAAACCGAGCAGATTTTTCTCATAGAAGATCTCACTGTTTGAGCCTTGCTCTTTAGAGAGTTCTCTGAAAAACAGATTTAAAAAAAAAAAATCTAAATCAAGTTGTTAAAGACCTCTGTATAGCCAGATGTGGTGGTGGGCACCTGTACTCCCAGCGCCCGGGAGGCTGAGGCAGGAGGATCACAGTGAGTTTGAGGCAAGCCTGGGCTACATAGTGAGTGTGAGGTCAGCCTGAACAAGACACTGTGTCAAAAAACCAAAAAATAAAAAATAAAAATAAAAAAGACCTTTGGCTATTTCTTTTATCTCTTGGTTTAAGATGCTATTTAGCAATTCTTTAGGAATATTACATATGTATCTCTAAGCAGTTTTTCTTTTACAGATTCAAGTTAAGGAAGTCAGATAGATTTAGGGGTATTACATATATTTTTCAAAGGCTGATTCATTAGAATGAGTAAAACTGACAAAAATTCAGTTTCCTCACTGTGAATACTTACTTAATTTAATGTCTGAGTAAGTCACCTAGTAGTACATTTATTTTTTGCTGGCTTTCTAAAGATCTTCAGATAGCTTGGAAGTATTGGAGATAAGAGCTCCATTCAATGTTATATGTCTTCCTTAGAGTACCAAGGCAGTTCACAAGCACAAGGTCCCGAGTTCGGTCCATGGTACCAAAAAATAAATAAAGTACCAAGGCAAATTTAAGTGCTCAGGAAATATTAAGTGAACAAATGAGCACCTTAGCAATTCTGTGCTGTGTTTTTATAAAAGGGAAAGATTTTCTTCACTTCATGCATTTTCAACACACTTGACATGAATTCTATGATTGTTAATACACATCCCAAGCACCTGAGAACACTTGTGGCATAATAGGGAAGCCAAGCTTTTTCTAAAGCTTGCACATGTACTTTTTCTTTTTCTTTTTTTTTTTTTTTAGGTGGTTCTCACCAGTCTGTGCTGGAACTTGAGATCCTTCTGCCTCACTTCCTCAGTACTGGTGTTACAGTTGTGTGCCACCTTACCCAGCTGAAGCATACACTTAAAACAACTTCTGATGAATAACTATTGATTTTCTGAGGTTGGCTTTTGTCTGGAATTGGCCTTCTCTCATTTTTCTTGCCTTAAATTCATTTCCCCTCAAATAAACATATGTTTCAAGAAAGCTTTCTATAAAGGGCTAAAGGTGTAGGGAAAGTGGAAAGGGTGGGGGAAAGGTAATAAGGGAGAGGAAAAAAATATGAGAAACTGAAAAAATGGAAATAAAGTGTTTGTAAATGGGGAGGGGAGGAGGGGGTGAAGGGAGGGCAGGGACAAGGGGAAAAAATGAGAATCAAGACCTGTCATGTAAAGGTACAGAATCCCAAGGATGAATGTAACTGTATTGTATACCTAGATTGTACCAATAAACTCAATAAAAAGAAAAAAAAAAGAAAGCTTTCTAGAAAATATTTGAAGCACTAACATAAATATATTTGTGTTCCACCCTAAGATCATGGTCATGCCTAATTTAGTTCTTTTAAGCAGGATACTCTAACATCCATGACCTTGCTTTTACACAGTGGTTGGTTATCTGGCTCTTTCTGGGATGACTTATTTTCAAATAATTTATTATTATAGGAAAATCGTTATATTTATCATTACCTTATGATAATCATTTTACTGATAATGATTGAGTCCTCCAGGGAATGAGTGATATGCAATACACTTTAGTGTTCCTCATCGTCCTCTGACTACATGTTTCCATTAAACTTACATGCTTCCTGAGACCTTTTACTTTTGCCGGGAGTCTTATAGATTTTGTAAGAAAGATACACTTTTCCCAAAAGTTATCTGTATACATTCCATAGGTATAAGTTGGGCCAGTGTTAGTTTTTTCAATTGTTATGGCTTGTGTCTAGATGTCACCCCAAAGCCTCATGCAGTCATAGTTGGGTCCGGCTTTTTCAGAGGTGACTGGATCTAGAGTATGTGATTCTGGAATTGATTTTTGGTGTAATGCTAAGATCAAGGGCACTAGGATTAAGGGTGTGAATGCTACCTGCCCCTAAGTAGCCTGGCTAAGATATAAGGGATAGAAACAAATATGGTCATCCCTTGCTTGCTTTTGATTTGCTACCTTCTGCCCTCCATGAACTATTTCTCCTGTGATGTCTGTCTACCATGCCACCCTGCCTTGGAGCCAACCAATTATGGACTGAAACTTCTACAAGCTGTGAGCTAAATAAACCTGTCTTCCTTTATCTTTGGGTGTCCGGTATTTTGTCTTAGTAAGGAGAAAAGTAACAAGATGATAATAAAACCTGAAAGACTTGCCTATAGATGGAGGTTGTAGGCAGACAGGAAAGCCTCTGACAGTAATGTCCTCCTCACTTAGCTTCATTCTGTTGTGAATTGCATTAGGCTGATCATGGTGGTATTTCCAAATGGCAGGGATAGACTGACACCCCTGCCCCAGCTTTATTAAGGTATGATTGGTATATAAAAATGCATATGATGTGTACAGTTTAATGTGCTTTGACATGTATATGCACTTCTACATATCTATCACTTCTACCAGTTTCCTTGTGTCCCCTTTACTCTTTTTTTGTACTAGGAGCACTTAAAATGTAATCTACCCTCTTAATTTTTTTAAGTACACAAAGCCTTATTAGGTGCTAGGTTATACAGCTGGTATCTACAACTTAGTAATTCTGAATGACTAACAAAGACATTTTTCTAGAAACCTTTTATGTAGATTTCTAGAAACTCCAAAATGGCTACAGCATTCAGGAACATTTTGGTTTTCTGTAAAGATAGGATGCTGAAGAGAAATTTTTCAAAGTTAGCTAGATGGGTGATGCAGCAGTTTTTTTCCCCACATTATCTGATTTTCCTCAAAAGACTTTCTTTCCTTTAGTGAGATAAGTCGTCTGGACTTGGGTCTAAGTGTGGAGGTGTGGAACAAAGGGCTGATTTGGGACACCATGGTGGGGACCGTGTGGATCGCACTGAAGACTATTCGTCAGTCGGATGAGGTCAGTCAGCGTATTATGAATGTAGCTCTTGCTTTTCCTCATTTTGGCTTCACTTTAGCTGGATTACTCTGATCCTTTTCTGATTAGAGGGCATTTGACCTGCCAATTCTTTTTTTTTTTCTTTAGAAAATTAAACATTTAATGAATACATGTTTATTTGGTAACAACACAGTTTCTCAATAAAAAGATGAGCTGAATTCCTTCAAAACAGAGCAAAGCAATTTCCCATTGTTTCTGGCTTAGACTCAAATCTGTTATTTTATACTCCCTGTTATTTAATAACTTTCAAACTATGCAAAATATTTGGAGGGATATATTCACATTATTCTAAAACCAAAATATTTTAAAATAAAAAATAATTTAAGGGCGGTAATTTCTAAATATCACAGTATATCACGATACATTTCTCCAGCTTTTAAAACTATTGCTACTAAAAATATTATTATATTTATGGAAAATACTTGGAAAAAGTGAAATACATGAAGAGTCCATCAGAGACCTTTTCTAGTTTCTGATTTCAGGAATAGGTATAGTTTCTGATTTCTACCATCTCCTTAATGGATCTTGTGTTATAGCATCCATCAGAAACCACTGGTCAGCTCTCAGATACTTATGACAATGCCTGTGAAACATGCATGCTTTGCTAAATTTACAATGGATGAAGTATTCTAAACTATGCTATAAACCCTCGATTATTTTTGCACAGAGTGGTAACATTCCAATATTCTCTGAAGAAACTTTACACAAAGGTTGAAAATAGGTCCTGCCCACCAATGTCAAAGTCATTTATTTTTTAAATGGATTATATGCTATTGCATTCTCTTCACCAATTTTTAAAAGGGTTCACAATCATGCTCTGCATATGAATGTGTTCACATATTCTGTGTATATAAATCACATAATCAAAGACTCCACACTGGTTCTCAGATTTGATATTAAAATCACCACAGATTCTCCAAATACCATTCACAATACTAGTGGTAAGAAAAATTATTGTCAAAAAGCTCTCTTTTATTTGAAAATTCTAAGGAAATAATCTCATCAGACATTTGGAATTATTGATAGAGACAAGGTGACAATTTAAACTTTCTAAAGTAAGTCTGACACTGATTTGCAAACAATTTTAAATTGTTCAGACTAACATACCATTCTGGAATTGCTAGATATTTGAATAACATCATGTTCACTTTTAGTTTTTCCTTAATTCTTATACCCCTTTCAGACTTCTATATTAAGTTCATATAACTTAGTTTTTGAAATTCAGTTTCAAGTTGAGTGAGTTAAGAAACAACAAACATCAAAACAGTTTAGCCGGACATTAATAGGCAAAAAGGGGTTACTTTGGCAATGTATAGAGTCTAACTATTACAGTAAAATTTTTAAATTAAATATTAAAATATAATAAGGCAATTATTTAAAACATTTGAAATTGCATTTATTTTGTTTTTTTGAGACAGAGTCTCACTATGTAGTTGAGACTGACCTGGAACTCACTATGTAGCCTAGGCTGGTCTCGAACTTGCAGTGATCCTCCTGCCTCAGCTTCCCAAGTGCTGGGATTACAGGCGTGTGCCACCATGCCCAGCCTGAAAATTGCATATAATAAATGGATGACTGGCCCCATAACCAACTTACTGCATCCTACGTTTCTTCTCTATTTACTCTAAGGAACCAAAAAAGTTATTTTAAAACAATATATCAGTGGTCTTTCTAAAAACATCTCAGATTCTGATTGCAATTATAGTATTACAAAACATGTATCTGAAAAAGATAATGAATTTTTTAAAAAGTTTTCCCATTTTACATCTTTATAATTCCTGATTTCTTGAATCCATTTGTAAGTTAACTGAAAGCATCCTCCTGAGGAATAGATATGATCTAAGGCTTAACCTACCATTCAGGGCAGGCAGTAATTCTTAAGCCTCCTTTCCTATGTATGCACATCACATGGGAAAATTGCTACAAGAGTTTCCTGCATTCCCTTAAGATCTAAAGAAGCAGTCCCTTCAGGCCTTCCTGCCCTGAATATGGCTAGTCTCACATAACCCAACATTTGGTTTGGCTAAGGAAAAAAGTTGAAATGGAAGACATTTGTTTCCACAGTGACGTGCCAATTCTTAATCCCACCCAGAGAAATGTGCTCTTCCTATCTCCCATGACTGAGTCCCAATTGGGGCGAATTCAGAGGTGCCAGATGCCTCTTCAACCTTCTTAGGTGGAAAGCCTCATCTGAGTAATGAGCCTGTATGTACCCATATTCTCCTCAAGATGCTGCCCTGGAAAGAGTCCATCAAACTTCCTTAGTCAACTGACTGAATCCTATTTTTTGCTTTGTTTCTTTCAGTTACCCAGGGAAATAGTTTCAGGCCTTTTCTTCAGCATGTAACCCTAACAGTATTTAAGGTACTACAAGGCTTAGGAGTTTGTATCTGCCCTGTTTCTATACATTATTTGTAGAACTAAACTCCCGTCCCACTTCCTGAGTTTAGACTGTAATGCTGATAACATCATTTACCTTTATATACTCACTTTGTATCCAGACAGAAGCTATTATGTTTCTATTTGCTCTAACATGAACCATGCATGAGTTTTCTCTGAGAGTGGAGATGTTGAAGATATTGCCTCTATTTTCTATATTTCTTTTATTTCTGGCTAAATCTCTGCATCTCTAGGCAGATAGGCAGTTCATTTTCATTACAGCCCTTATTCTATTTAGCTAACAATGTCAGTAGTTCTTTAATGATAAGAAACAGTGATACATATTATTAAGCGGTATACTCATTAAGAACCATGCAAATTAAATATTGATCCATGGAAATGCTTGGCTTTAGAGTTTGGTGTTTCAGAATTTCTGTCCTTATTGGGCTTGCAGAGAACTGACTACCATGAAAGCTCCTCTCCCTACCAAAGGGGAAAACAGAAGCCACATACTGTACAAGTGACAGTGGCCTTTTTGCCTGTCAGAATGAGTGGCTCTCAGAAATTCCCAAACAAAGAACCTCAGAGAAAGACACATGACTTTTTAACTAAGAAGGGATCCAAGAAAGATTAAAATTTAATCTTGGATTTTTGTTTCCTAGGAAGGACCCGGGGAGTGGTCTACCTTGGAGGCAGAAACATTAATGAAAGATGATGAGATTTGTGGAACTAAAAACCCAACTCCTCATAAAATTTTGCTTGATACAAGATTTGAGTTGCCATTTGGTAAGTCTATTTTATAAGATTTTTTTGTTGTTGTTTATTTCAGACAGGGTTTTTCTGTGGCGTTCAGGCTGGCATTGAACTCAATATGTACACCAGGCTGGCCTTGAACTTGTGATCCTCTTGCCTCAGCCTCTGGAGTGCTGGATTACAGGGGTACACCATCACGCCCAGCACTGATGATTTTAGAAACAATCCTTTTTGTCATATTGTTTGACATTGTTTGCTAGTTGTTTCATTAATACATGTTTTGTCTTCTTAGCTGTTTCCTCAGAGGGCATGCTGTCTTCATCTACTCTGTGTCCCATGACATTAGTATGGTGCTCATTAAAAAAATTCACATTAAAAAAGCATGTTCTTCAAGTCATTTAGTCTGGTGACTATTGTAGTGATCTGTGAAATATCTACTTGTAAGACTTATTCTTTAATATTTATCACAAAGTATATATATACCTTATGTTTTATTAATTTAAATTTGAATGGGGTGTAGTGGCATTGCCTGCAGTCCTAGAACTTTGGGAGGCTGAGGCAGGAGGAGTGTAAGTTCAAGCCCAACCTGGGCAACTTCGTGACTTAATGAGACATTATTTTAAAACAAACAACAAAATAAAAGATAAAACAAAAAACATTGAATATTGGTAAATAGAATGGTATCTTCTTTCACGCGTGTGTGTGTGCACATGTGTGGTACTAGAGATGAAACCAAGGGGCACTCTACCACTTAGCTATTTCTACATCTGGGTTTTTCATTTTGATAGAGTCTTGTTAAGTTGTCCAGACTGGCCTCAAACTTGGAGTCTTCTTGCCTCAGTCTCCCCAGGAACATGTTGCCACCACACCCAGCTAGTTTATTACCTTTAAAAGTAGATTTTTTTTTTGTACCAGGGATTGAACTTGGGACCTTGTGCTTATGAGGCAGGTGGCAGAACCACTGAGCTAAATCCCTGGCCCTTGAAGTAGATTTTAAAATCACAAAAAATACAGGCTTATGATAAAAATTCAAATAGTAAGGAAATATATGTGGATAGAAAATTAATAGGTTCTTGTTCAACTTCCTTCTACCTCCTTTGCATTCCCCAGAGGTAGACTACTGTTAACTTTTTTGTTTCTTGGTTTAGACATGGGACATTTATTTTCTAGAAAATTCTTTCAGTAAAATTTAGATTAGAGAGATATGTAGTATTATATAAACTACTAAAACATGTATCTTGGACATTGTTCCATGTTATACTTTAAGATCTTTCTTCCAGATCTAAATAAGTGCCTTCACTATAATATATCTAAGTCATTCTGTACTGATTGACATGTAGGTTATTTCTAATTTTTAATAGTACATATTTCTCTAATATAAAATCTGTGTATCTGTGCCCATTATGAGTCTATGATAAATGGCTTATAGTTTTGTAAGATCAAAGATGATACACATTACTACATATCTTAGATACTGCAAAATTACTTGTCAAAAAAAATTGTACTTTTTTTTTTTGCTATGTAGTCCAGGTTGGCCTGGAACTTGCTATGGAAGCCCAGGTGGCCTTTGACTTGTGATCCTCTTGCCTCAGCCTACTGAGGCATGTTTGAGCTTCAGTTTCTTCATCTGCAAAATAGAACATTGGAACTAGTGTAATAGTATGTTGGTTTCTGTAAATATTTAAAATCATATTCTTGGCAAGAACTGAGTCACCAGTAAAATTAATCTACTACCACCTTTCAAACTATAATCATTTGACTAAATAAAGTATTATCTACTGATGAATGAAATGTAGTCAATTTGACTGATATTTCTTCTTTTTACGGTAGATATCCCAGAGGAGGAAGCCCGATATTGGACTTACAAATTGGAGCAAATCAATGCCTTGGGAGCTGATAATGAGGTAGGAGTGGTCTTCTTTGCAGTGTGGAGAGGTGGGGAAAATCTCTGATACATTTTGTAGATTGTCCAGGAAAGGGCCCAAGAGCATGTTGTCCTGAAGAATGAAATAAATTTCATTAAGAAAAAGGGTCAGTTAAAGTCTTGAAATTACGTTAGAAGTCTCCATCTCCTCCCAGTGTCCTTCAGACAGAGGCACTAGTCTGGTTATAGTCTGTTGAGAAGGAAGTTGCTACCAGGGAATCTGTCCTTGTTTGTTACATAAATCAAGAGAAGGGATTTCTTCAATTCCCACCCAGATTTTTGGATATTATTATTTATGTGTTCTTTTTAGGGATAGACTATTTGCATTTTTTTATATTGGGGATTTAACCTAGGGCTTTCTCAATGAGCTACAACCCCAGCTCTTTTTTTATTTTTTATTTTGAGACAGGGTCTTGCTGAGTTAACCAACCTGGGCTTGCACTGGCCATCCTCTTGACTCAGCCTTCTGGAGTGCTAGGATTACAGGTGTGCACCACCACCTGTCTTAGTCCTGCTTTTATAATTTATCTCTAGAAGTGAGTCTAGTGTGTAGAAAAGAACATATCAAGTCAATCTGGGATGTCAGGAAAGGGGAATAGTTTTGTTACTGACAGTTCAGGGAAAAGGTAGTATTTGCTTTTGTACATGTTGGGCTATTAAAAATGTGTTTCCTTATAAGGTAGAATTTCAGTGTCAGGATATTTCAATGGAAATGTCTAGTAAGTAACTTTAAGCGACAGTCTGAAGCTGAGGATTAAGTGTGGTAGAAAGTTGTAGACATGGAGTTTAAATTCATCAACATATTAGTAGCAATTGAAGTCATAGTAATGGAAAAGCTTGCTCAGGTAGATCATGTAGAAAAAGTATTGAAGAACAGGACAACATTTTAGGAAATATCAAAGATAGTCCTGGAAAACAAGAGTTAGAGCTGTTGAAAGGGGGAAGGTAAGAAAAATTCATAGAACAAAGGAAAAAGAAAAGGAAAGGTTTATGGAAGACAAAAGAGATTCAACATAGAAATTACTGCATGGTATCACAGGCTCAAAAAAATGAATTCTAAAATAGAGATACTGTTTTTTTTCTATCCTTGCATCTACTCTGGGCTTTTGTTCTCCTTAAATAGTAGATAGCCTTTCAAAGTTGTATCATCTTGTCCTAGTAAAGAAAGAAACTGTACTTTTTTTAAAAAAGTAAATAAATGTTTTTATCATAAGATATAAAAACATATTTTAGAAGAAATGTTATGTGAATTCAAAATCACACCAAACTTGGTAAACTAAGAGCAGCTCTGTATTGTCTCAAACTTTTATGAATTTATGAATAAAATATATATGTTGATGGAACTTGGGGAAACAAAGGAAAATGAAATAGGCTGATCTCGAACTCACAGCGATCTTCTTTCCTCAGCCTCCCGAGTGCTGGGATTACAGTCATGCACTACCTCGCCTGGTTTTTTTTTTTTTCTTTTTTGAGACAGGCTCTTGCTATGCAGTTCAGGCTGGCCTCGAACTCATGGTGATACTTTTGCCTCAGCCTCCCAAGTAGAGGGATTACAGGGGTGTGCCAGCACACCAGGCCCATGTGTCTCCTATTATTAACATCTTGTTTTAGTGTGGTATATGTATTACAGTTAATAAACTGATATGATATATCATTAACTAAAGAATCATTATGTATTTTATTATTTTATTAATTCAAAATTTAAAAAGTTTTACCATACAGAAATGCTAAGTGTCCCAGGATCCTATCTAGGTTACTGCATTACATTTAGTTGTCGTGCTTCCTTGGATGTCATATTTTCTCAGACTTTGTTTTTATGACCCTTATTTTAAAGAATTCATTGCCTAACACATCTGGTACTGTCAGCCCACTGTATCCATGGATCCTGCATCAGTGGATACAACCTCCCTTGAAGATATTGAAAAAAATACATCTGTACTGAACATACACACTTTTCTGTGTGTGGTGTTAGAAATTGAACATAGGCCTCACATAATACTAAGCCTGTGCTTTGCCACTGAGCTCTACCCTTAACCCCCAAAAGGTTTTTTTCTTTGTCATAATCTCCCCAAACGTTATAGTAACAACTTTTACATTATCTTAGATATTGTAAATAATTTTAAATACAGTGAAAGTATACAAGAAAATGTACATAAGTTATATGCAAATATTAGTCATTTTATAGAAGGGTTTGAGCATCTGGATTCTGAAATTCATGGAGGGGGGTATCCTGGAACCAGGCCTCATCACCAAGGGATGATGAATTTATAATAGTAATACAAAGTGGAGAGCCTTGTCTTTTTCCTGACAATAAAGAGAATGTTTCATAAATCTTAAAGTACGACTTTAAAATTTGTCATTGACTATGGTATTCTCTATCAGATTAAAGAAATTTTATTTTATTTCTGATTTTCTAAGCATTTTTTGTTATGAGACTAGAATTTTATACAACCTTTTTCTGTAACTATTAGATAACATATTTTTCTTTAATGTGGTGAATTACGTGAGTAGATTTACAGATACTTAACTGTCCTTGCATTTAAAGCTTGCCCAGTCAGGTTATATGTGTGCTTTTATGCCAGCATGCATATATATGCACATATGTATATGCACATTCATATAATTTATAAATATTATATACTTATATAATGTGGTGAACTGTCTTGGTAACCTATTAGAATTTTTGTGTCTATGTTCATAGATGAGGTTGGCCTATTTTCCTTTCTTGCAGTATCTTTGTCAAGTATTGTAGATAGATTTTATGGATTTTTTTCCTTAGGTATTATTAATTGGGTCTGGAACAGATTCATTAAATGTAGTTCCTGAAAGTGTCTACTCTGATCTTTTAAGCCTGGATTTTTCTAGTTTATTATTTACATTGTTGAGATTTTCTCACTGTTATGTATATAGACTGTCTATAAAAACCATCATTATAATGGTTATAACCAAACCCCTTTGTCACTTTGGAATATTTTATCCTTAAAGAGATTTGAGTATTTTTATGACTGGCAGTTTTACTAACACTATCATACTGGTTACATTTTTAGAAGTAGTAGCAATATTATTATGATAATTATATCATATTATCTATAACGTATGTAACATAAAAGTATATTCAAAAAGTACTTTGGATTTTGGACCCAGTCATTTGAAATGCTCTTTGTCATTAACATCCTTATGTACACACCATCAGAGTTTGTCTGTTTGTTTTTGGTGTGGGGGGGTGTCAAACCTGGGCCCTTATGCTTGCTAGGCAGGATTTGGCAATAAGCCAAATCACTGGCCCTCATCAGAGTTTGTCTGACTTGTTGCAATAATTAACTTGTTTTTCCTCTTGTTCCCTATGGTTCAGCTCTGCAGCAGCCAGAGTGATCTCAAGCCCCATCTAGTGGCACATGCTTGTAATCCCTAATCTCAGATACTCAGGAGGCTGAGACAGGGTTGGAAGTTTGAGGCTAGCCTGAGAAAGTTATCAAAACTCAAAAGAATAAAAAATATCTGGGAATGTAGCCAAGTGTTGTCTGGGTTCAATCCAGACATTATTAAAAAATATCTGTCTATCTCATCAAGTCACATTCTTCTGATGTTTAAAACACTAAATGGCTTCCCAATACACTGGAATAAAATTCAGACTCCTTACCATGAGTCTATTATGCTAGTGCCTAGGACAAGGCATTGTGTATAGTGAGTGCTCAATCAATATTCACTGAATAAATGACCCAGTCGCAGGCAGATTTAGAGAAGCTCTGACTTTACCAGAATCTTAGAGCTTGTTAATGAGAGGCAAAGTTATCTGATCTTTGCAAGTTGCTGGGTCAAATTATTTCTTTCTAATCCTCTACAATACTCTGACCCAGACTATTCTTCCAAGTTCTATACTTCTGTTAATTTGTTGATGCCTCTCTCTCTTCCTCTCTCTTTTGCCTTTCCAATGAAGAATTATACTGAATTTTGTTCCCTTTATAGGACATTTCTTAAGGCTCTATCCTGTATTCATTTTTATAGTGATGGTGAGATGGTTGGAGTTGGGGAATGTAAATGGGAAAGGAACTGTAATAGATACTAGATATATCTAATAGATGCCAGGTATATGAGCTTAGTTGAACAGTTTCCCTTCCCATGTGAATTTGAAAGGGAAGATGAGAAAACAGCCTTAGAGAGGTTAGCAGTCCTATCATCTAAGTGAAGGAATCTATATACATTAACCACAGGAAAACTCAGAGAACTGTGAAATACTATAAGGCTTCTAAGACCAAACCTTCCTCAACTGCCTGACAGAGCTGGGTGGGTTCCCAGGTACCCTTGGACAGAAAAGCATTTCTCTTGTCCTGCTTTAGCCTGACTCATTGAGCCAACACCGTAACTGCTAACCTTGATGTTAGGATCATGCCGAGAAAATGGCAGTGGATTGTTCTGTTTCAGTTCAATTACAAATTTAACTCAAGTCAAACGCTAAACCTTTTTTATAGGTGGCTGAGATTTTTTTCCCTCTTTACTTGGGCCTCTTATTACATATTTTTTTCCCCTCCTTTCTGCTTCTAGTATTCTATGCAAGATGAAAGCCAGAGGAAGCCATTATCCACTGCTGCCGCCCAGTGTTGTAAGTGAGAAACTTGCCTCTGAACCTGTTATAATTGCAACTTTCTGTCTCTTCTTCAAATATATCTTATTTTGAGTTGGGGAGGTTAGAGACACAGTAAACAGAAGATGTTCCAGAAGTTCTGCTCTCTAGGCACAGGCCTCCAATGGCTGCTCATCCATAGGCTTCAAGAAGAGGTCTTTTGGTTTTATATGCTTTTGGCGAGGTAGCAGTTCTCATCTTTTTTCTCTATTTGCTAGCTTTTACTACTGAGTATCTGATTTTACTTCCTTTATCTCTGTTTACCTGTTATTTTTCTTGTTCTTTTTTTAAAAAAAATTCTGGTACTGGGATGAGAGTGAATTCAGGGCTTTCCCACTGTTGCTAAATTGCCCAATCCCAGCCTGAACCTTGCCTCCCAGAGTGCTGGGATTACAGATATGTGCCACCATTCCTGGCTTACGTGTTATTGTTTAAGGCTCAGTTTAAATATAACCATTTCTGGGAATTCTTCTTGCTATTTCCTCCTTCCTACAAGTTTAATTTCTGAGCTTCCCTTCTGTGAGTCCTTGTGTTCACCCGTTACATAACATGTCACACATTATAACTTAGGTATATTTAATACAAAAATTTTGGGCTGGGTGTGTATCTCGGTGGTACAGTGCATATGTTCTACCTAGCATGCACATGGCTCTGAGTTTCATCTCCAGCACTGCAATAAATAACAAAACTGCCAAGTTTTCAAAGATTGAGATATTCTTCTATTTTGTATTTCTGGGCTTGGTTCAACTGTAGAGTTTAATAAATCAGTAACCTAGAGAGATAATCTGTCAATTTATTCAGATCACAGAGATTCTTTTTATTATTAATTTTATCGGTACATTTTGGGTATACAATATAATGACATTCATTACTGGAAATCTGTATGTTTATCTATCTTGGTTCTTGTTTTTTCCCCATTCCCCTGCCCTCCCTTTAACCCCTCCACCCCTTCCTATTTACAGAGACTTTGTTTCCATTTTTTTGTTTTCTCATATTAATTGCAGTCTCTTCTTTCCTTTCTCCTACCTCTCTTACTTCCCCTTCTCCTTTGCCTCCTTTTTATTTCTATTTCACATTATCTGTTATACCTTTTAGTCCTTATTTACACTTTCAGTTTCTCACACCATAGAGAAACTTTCTAGAAATGAGTCATACATTGTTGGTATACTGCTACCTTCTCAATTTCTTTGAAAACAGATTGAAGAGATAGTAAAAGGCCAAGTTAAAATCTGTTCTATTTGAGTGTGTATATGCATACATGTGTGCATCTTTTGTGTTGCTGTAGTTTTTCTGAATCATATACCAAAGTCCTTTAACTATAAGTTGAAGTTGGTGGTGATAGCAGTTGTCATAGTAATACTAGCAAGAATAAGAACCATGGCAGGCAACATATATTAAACTGATACTATGTCAAATTCTATTCTAAGAGCTTAAATGTATTAACTTGTTTAATCTTCACAACACCTCTAAGATATATTTACTCTTGTCCTCTTTTTTAAAGATGTGGAAACTGAGGTATAAAGAGATTGAGTTGTGGTGACATGAATATTCAAACACAGACAGCCTGACTCCATAGTGCATATTTTGTATCACTGTGTTATGCTGTTTCCTTTGTATTGTTTGTGGGAAGGAAAACCTCTACTCATCATCTGTAAACCCATTGGTTGCCTTCCATTCTGTACATTTTACAGTATATTTTTCTGATAAAAGTTCAGTAACAGAGGTTAGCATTTTTTCTTTATTTTAAGTAGACCTATTTCTCATATAATTTATAACTACCACATTTTTGGGGTTTTTTTCTTTGCTACTTAGGCCAGGAGCCAAACGTATCTGAATTCTGTAGGTCCTTTTCTAAATTCATTGTAATGAGTTAATTTTGACTTTTTAATCTTTTGAAGCTTTTTTTTCAAGGACTGCTATTGAAAAGTGAAATGAATGATTAAGATTTCATGTACTGTTTTTCTAGATTCATTTGATGAAATACAGTTGATATGATTGAAGAGCAAATGTCAAGAGGGCAGGGAGAAATAAAATATATAGAAAATCAGCAAGTTTATTAATTCTCATACATTTTTCATTTGTTTTTTGGCTACTTTATTTTTTTATGAATAGTTTGTTCTTCTATTTTCCCTACTCTTATTATGATTATTATTATTATTCTTTTTCTTGGTACCGGGGATTGTGTTGTGGAAGGAATTAGCAAGAGATACACACATAGAGAAAAGCTGAATGGAAGTAAAATTAAAAGTTTATTTTGCCAGGCAAAAGTTGATCTCACTCAAATAGGCAGTGCCAGTGATTGACCACCTATTGGGTTGCAGGTATAATCTCATTCAGGTGGTTACACTTCATTTCCTCAGTTCACATTACCTATTACTCAGTTCACATTACTGTACAAATTTCAGTAATAAGACAGTTAACTTCAACCCAAACGTAACAATTCCTTGTAGTTAGGGAGTTTACCTTAAGATTCATCTAGCTATCTATTCTAGCACACAGAAAGGGGTTGTTCAAGGTTAGGGATGAGGCCAGATATCTTATTTCATGGTCAATGCCCAGTGTCTATTAATTTTGAACTAAACAAGCAGATTTCTGTTGGAGACAGCAAACATCATTTTACATTTTCCTAACATTTTGTAGATTTTTAGATTATTTGTAAAGGTTCTCTCTATCAATTGAACTCAGGACCTTGTGCTTACGAGGCAGGCGGCAGCACCACTGAGCTAAATCCTTGGCCCTCTCTTACTCATTTTTATTTTGGAAAATTTTATTTTTATTTTTTACATGGCAAAATTTCCTTTATTTTTTTCAGCTTTAATTGAGTTTATTGGTACATTTTAGGGATACAGTACAGTTACATTCATTGTTGGGATCTTGTACCTCTACATGACAAGTCTTGGTTCTCATTTTTTCCTTTAACCCTGCCCTCCCTTCACCCCCTCCTCCCCTCCCCACCTACAAATACTTCATTTCCATCTTTTCATTATCTCACATTTTTTCTTTTCCCTTATTACCCTTACCCTACCCATCCCACCTTCCCTACACCTTTAGCTCCTTTCTTCCCATTTCTAAATGTCAGTAATCTTATTAAGATCTTATGTATTATTGCAGATTATTCATACCAGAAGCAATTTGGCAATATATACCAAAATCTTTAAAATATTAATTGCCTTTGACTCAGTGATTATATTTCTGGAAATTTATCCTGAGTAATTATAGCAGATGTTTGTTATAGAACTTTTTTTTTTTTTTTTTTTGGTACCAGGGATCAAATTCAGGTCTTGCGCCTGTGAAGCAGGTGGCAGCACTACTGAGCTAAATCCCCACCCTGTTACAGAACTATTTAAGTAACAAAATTTGAAAATAATGTTATAGTTAAACAGTAAATGATAATTATCTGAACACTTATCAGACTGAATACTACATGCTATTTAAAAATATGTTTTAGGAGTTGTAGTTGTAGTTCAATGATGTATTTATGGCAAGGCTCTGACTTAATCCTCAGCACCAAAAAGTAAAAATTTCAGAAATAAAAAAGCAAAAAATGCTCTGAATAGTAATGCAATTTTGATGAAACTAAGAAAAAATAGCATTAAATTTTTCTTATTTAAATCACTCACCTATCTATAATACTTTGTTTTGACAGACTAGTACACTTATATAAATGCAGCTATACAATTATGGGACAAATCATTGGAAAAAGCACCAAAATAGTACCAAATAGGGAGAGTGATTGTGGCCTTAAATTTTCTAAATATTTAACATTGTACTACTTTTGATACTTAAGAAATTGAGTCCTTGTTATTTATTTATTTATTTGTTTGTTTGTTTGTTTGTTTATTTATTTATTTATTTATTTATTGGTACTGGGAATCGAACTCAGGCCCTTACACTTGCAAGGCAGGCAGTGGAACCACTGAGTCAAGTCCCCAGCCCGAGTCCTTATTTTTTATCTGGTTTTGCTGCTCTATTTGTGACTTTGGGAATCTTTCTTCTACTTCAGTTTCTCCCCCCTCTTTCCTCTTTTCCTGCCTTCCTTCCCTGCTTCCTTCACTCTTTTCCTGTCTGTATTAGAGATTGAACCCAGGGCAGCACTCTACCACTGAGCTACATTCCTAGCCCTTTTCATTTATTTTATTTTGAGACATGGTCTTACTAATTTGCCCAGGTTGGTTTGAACTTGCTATCCTTTGCCTCAATCTCTCGAGTAGCTGTAATTTTAGCTATGTACCACCATGGCCAGCCTGCTTTAGTTTTTTGATGTAAAAAATTGATTTAGATGGGATCCAGAACTTTTATAGCTATAACATCATATGAGCCCCTAGTAAGAAAATACCTTTGCATGGATGGCTCCTCCACTACAATGTGTTTGGATCAATCCTCTTCAGCTGCTAGTGAAATGTCTTCAACAAATTATTTTCACAAATCCCTAATCTGTTACTTTTAAGAAAACTGTCATTCTTAGCCTTTCTCTAGCTCTAATATTTACATGTATTATTTTTCTTTTCTTTATGGTACTGAGGATTGAGCCCAGGGCTTTGTGCATGCTAGGCAAGTGCTGTACCACTGAGATATAAGCCCAGCTTTGGATATTCTCTTGAAAGGGATAGAATTCTTTAAAAGTATTAAGGTGAATTATATATGCTTCTTCCCATGTTTGTCTTCCTTCCTGCCTTCCTGCCTTCTTTCTTTCGACAGGTCTCAATAGTCAGTTCAGGCTGGCCTAGAAATCACTATGTAGCCCAGCTGGCCTTAAACCCATGACCATCCTCCTGCATCAGCCTCCCAAGTGCTGGGATTTACAGGCATGTGCCACCACGCCTGGCTTCCAGTGTTTTCTTTCAGGTCACACTTTTCTGATTTAATATGCAGTACTAATATTTTGGATTCAATTTTTTTTTTTTTTTGGTACCAGGGATTGAACTCGGGACCTTGCACTTGCAAGGCAGGCAGCAGAAGAATCACTGAGCTAAATCCCA